CCTTGATAAGGTTGATAAGGTTACATCAAAATATTCAGTCGAATTCTATAACACAGAAAACGTTCATAGACCGATCATTTCTATATTTCTCGGGCAACCGCTCCATGGAAAACCTCCTCGGCTTGAGTCTTGGTTCCGAGAACCACCTTCAGATCGCGAGAAATGTCACTGTCCTTTACTTACCCAGGCGAAATGCTGCCTTCACCTTGATATCTTTGGCTACGTTTTCTTCACTCTTGAATACTTTCTCGAGAATGGATGTCAACAGGAGGCGATCTTGATTAAGTCTCTCCTGTCCAGTTCCCACTGGTGCCTCAGGTAGGTTTAGTGCCTGAAAGCACTTGTTACGCTGAGGAACATTGCGTTTGGCAGCACTCACCATTTTCGTCCATCCCTCCCAGGTCCCCGATGCGGTGGACGGCAGGGACTCCACAGGCGGTCCTCCTTCCTTATGTGCTTGTGATGTGGTACTAATCGTCGGTAATGAAACTTCGGTCGAGCCCTTCGAGTCCTCGGTAACTTTCACAGGAGCATCCTTCCCACTTTTATTCCGTCCTTTACGACGCAGTGTAGCCGCTGAGTCAGGACAAATCGGGGTTGATACATCTAGCAGGGAAGCACTGGCGCTAGTTCGGACGTGTGCGTCGCCTGCTGTGGGGTGAATAAGCATTCTGTAGTGTCACCATGCCCAAACCGGATGAAACTTTCCAAAGGTATTGGCATATAATTAACGTCGAGAGGCGACTTAAACGAGAGGAACATAAATCTGTTGGCTCAGTTGATATCTTGTGAAAGCGCTTCGATGTGAACATAAGTTCAATCTGTTGCATATTCAACGAAATTTCTTCATCAAAACATATACGGAGAGGGAGAAAACCGGCCATAGCAAGGCAATATGATGGTTTTATTTGATCGCAGCAGAGAAGAGTTTCAAAAAACCATTCTGGAGGATAGTCCAGGCTGATTAGCCATTTTCCCCACGCTTTGGTTTGGAAAATGATGGTTCAATTTCCAATGCAGCTGAGGCCTTGTGATGCAGAGCTGTTATCGAACGCCCAACAAAGCATAACGCGTATTGATTTGACCAACAAATTCAAATCGCGTCGCCGCCCATTTGGAAATGGGTTTATCTCACTGGTGGCTAACGAGTAATGAACAATATGGTTAAAGCTGATCTACTGAGCCAGTGTTCCAATGAAATTCGTTCTACCTGTGAAAGGAAGTAGATATCTACATCGCCCAACGAGTTGGAAGAAACACGATTGTTGAACGCATTGTTGTTGGTCTCCTGCATACACCGATATGGACATAGCGAAATTTACTGCTCTGGTAAGAAAGGTTTTTGAAAGCTGGCACACCTAAAATGCATTCGCGGAAGTCATATCATTTATATATGACGATTGGCATATCAGATCGCTTGAGCTTGGTGGTAAAAAACGATTAGATCTAAATAAATATTATTTTTTCACATTTATGCAGTTTCTAGAGGGGTCGATTTCAATATCAAATTCGTTCTATTAACGCGCAGCAGCTGGGATTGTAATTTAATCGGAATCCTTTCCCTGTATCAGAAACGGGGATAAGTTAACTACCTTATCACTGGTCGCCGGCGTTAAGGGTGTAGTGTATTAGAGGAAACTTGCAAATTCTGTTTGGCAGTTGACTTGATGGACTCTATGCTAAAGCGCCTGCCTTCAGTGCTCAAAAATGAAGAAGAGTAAATGAAACATGGACGAGATTAAAGTGCAATACCTGTATAAATTCCATGAGTCATTTTATTAAATAAATTATAGGTGCTTTTTCTACTGTAACTTTGTTATCTTACAACTCATGCACTAGCGAAAACTGTTGGCATAGCGAAATTAAACATTTTAATGACATGTGGCTGCTAGAAGCAGTGACATAAGTGGCTATAATATCAGATATGTTGCGTCTGATGTGCAGCCATGCAATATTCAATGCCGTGAATGAGGCTGGAACAACGAACCATTGAGTGAAACAAATGTGATGAAAATCAGGATGTTGCACGAGTTTGGTCAATAACTGTATGTGCATGGAAGATAAATTAGCACCAAAGTGAACACAGTGTCTGCAGACGAAAGTAACATAATGGTCAAAGGATAGCCCCAATTGTTGTCGAATTGGTTAAACAGAATACAAAGTGGTGTTCTGTCCTGCTACTTATTTCACTGCTGGCAAATATGAAAAGCATTTGAGATGTATCTTACTAAGCTGGGCTTTTGGAAACGAGCACATATGCCAATAAGGATTCAAAACTTCGCTGCTTGGTTTCGCAATTTGCTTTCGTTTAAACTTGAAACCAATAGAATTGAGAGGTAGCGTTCGCTTATCGTTAGCTGAAACGCTTTTCCAATTGGTGATACGTTCATTGAGCTCCATGTTCAGACCCTTGGAAAGCACTATTATACATATATATTTTATATATATCAAACAGAATTTGTGAGCGAATGGTAATTTCTTCCGTAATTGAATTTTTCCATAACGTTCTCCAGTTATGTTGATTACTACGTTTGCTGTGTATGTGTTGATTTTCTGCAAAACTGAAATGAAAGTCAGATTGTTTCAGTACTCGTACTGATTATAAGAACGAACTACTTAGAGAAAAGTCATACAGTGTAAAGTCATCATACGAACTTGGAACAGATTGTATCACTCTCACTATATATATACATATATGTATATATATATATATATTTACTAACTGTATACTGTCATTGATAATAGGTGCAAGGAGCCTAAAAAGTAGGAATACTGGAGGATTTGACTTTGATACACCTTCGGGAATCGAGCAGAATGCAAAGAAAAGGATAGAAGTAGGTTTTCAGTACGATTAGGAGAACAAATCCGTATACTTTTTTTGTATTAAGAAACAACTGACATGTACATCACAGTTGCTGCTCTCTGATACTCACCCAATACGTAGTACACAATTACGTCGTTAGATCCATCGGTCTTCGAATTAGCCCTGGCTAACCTCATAAGCGGAGCACTGAGAGCAGCTGTTCCCACCTCCGATTGTTTTTCACTTTTTTCTTACTGGAACATTTTTTCGTGCATCAGTAACTGATGGTTCTTCAGCTGTTGGTGATTTTGAATCTTGCTGCCTAGACGATGGATCATTCTACGAATTATCTTCTGAAGGTGTTTTGTTCCTTCTTGTTCTGTAGGTTGTGTGGCCGGTTCGGTGGGTGCTTCAGTTGATTTAGTCGTTGTGTACTCTGAACTAGTCGTGTGCGAGGCCGCGCTCACATCAATCGGTGAGCTAGATGAAATCTGGTTTGTTGCACCTGATGGACACAGCGTTTCCGATTTTCCGTCACTGGACATCTTTACACATTTGCTTCCACTCGTTGCCTGTAAACAGATGAAATGTTTCTGAAAGATAAACAATATTTTCTTTTCATTGTCCCAAATAAATTCATCTGAATTATTTATTCACTTACATCAACAACCATTTTCACCGCTTTGTCGTAATCCGATTTGATGCGATACTGAAAACCGGTGCCACTGCCCAATACAGTCACCTACTGTACTTCTTTTGACGCGACGACTTCTTTACAACTCTGTGTATCGTGTGCTGGTATTGCAAAATTAATTTCTCCAACAGCTGGTTACTTACCAACGATCACGCTTACACACACAGTGATCAGCAATATTTTCACGATATTTGATTTTATCTTCTCTGAGTTGTTATTTGCTGGTAACTCCTAGCTTTATATTATTTTCTACATATTTCTTCCGGTAAGATGTCAATATTGTTAACGTTGTGCATACACTCACGTGACTAATACGTAACTTCGTTGCAAAAGGTGATACCCCTCGTTGGTGCCCTTATTCTCAAAGAGTGAAACTATACAGTCTCCTGTTAGCAGCTCAAATGTTACGTCACGTTATATTCTGAGGTATACTACATTGATTTATTTCAGTAGATGAATACTTTCAAATGAATGTGCAACACATTGCGATTGTGGAGAATCACTAAAATGTGATAAGTGAAACATGGTTTCAGTCAGTGATCATTAAGGTTCATTGTTGTTCGGTCTCTTTTAGCGATTCTCTGTCACTCCTATTTGAGTTGACACTTCCTTTATTTATGTGATGATGCATTTTCCGTTTGTGAAAAGCAAATGGTGCACGAACAAGAGAAGAGCATTCAAATACAGTATGCTTTTTACTCTGAGCCAGCTAACTCTTATCAGTCCACTTTACTCCAAAGCTTTACTCAAATAAGACCATTTCTTTTATCATTTATCCGTCTAGGTCCTCTGGTTATTCCGTATCGCAACACATCGACAAGCATAGCATTCCGATCGAAATAGTCCGATGATGGCTGACTTCTCATACGCGGTTCTAATGTGAATCGTGATAATTTTACTGACTGTACTGGACACATATGTGAAAGCCATAAACATTGTGACCGGTCCCATGAGTAATCATCGGGTAGCTTATAAACCAGTGAGATAATTCGATGAGTTAACTTTCACTGCAGATGATAATTGAATAAGCAATGTCCATGGAATGAAATTATTGGTACCGGAAATGTCCTATCATAAACAGACATACAATGAAAGATGTGGCTAGTGTGGAAGTTCACTTGTTTTAACGAGCAGATGCTGAAACGCGTGGGACCATGACACCGAATCGTTAGTTTATCTTGCTCATCATCAAGATGCTAATTTGACAAGTAGTTGGGATTCCATGGAATAATAAAAAAACATTTAAGTAGCTGGCATCGTTCTTGCTAAATATAAACGTTTGTTTCAGTCTACGATAAAAACCGAAATATTCCATCACATTACTGGTGGGGCACATCTCGGGTCGGCCTTAGATCAACTTAAATTCCTGCTGTTTATCAATGATATTAAATGAATTATTCGCTCATCGTGCTGCACCTTTGCTGATAGCGTGAATACGTTTTGAGTTATTAGAGGAACCGACCAAACATATGATTTGGAGTATATGATCAATTTGTCCTATACCTAGGATCTGCCACTTAACGAAGCGAACAGTCATTTTCTTTCCTGAGTCCGTAATTTAATCAAAGCAGAAAATTGGGGGGATTCGAAGTAGACTCCAGTAATAACGCTCAAGACTTGGTTGTCATGGGGATGGCACACTTTAGTAGGTTTACCCAATGTGAAGCTGCAGGGCACACAGTGAGACTCGGGTTTAACTTGTTTTCAAAAATGTTGCACGCAAACGCACGGAGACATTGCGAGCACCGAAGTCGAGGTGTTCAACCAACGCGATCCATACACAATGCTGTGGTGTTGATTGAAAGGTGAACGTACTTTCCCATAAACAGCTGAAATTGTCTGTTTAGTATGAAATATCAATATGGTTGTCCTTCTCTTTGGTTTAAATCAGTAAACGGTGTTACGTATGCGAGGATTCCGTGATGCATCGATGACGTTTTGAAGAGAAGTCCCAGTTGCATCAGATGTTTTTGAATTAATTTTCATCCCACAAGGTGACTGCGATGCGTTATTGAGACGGTCTCGGTGATTCAGACCGAAGTAATCAAACCGAATACAAATCTCTGTTAAAAACACTCGTCTCACTATGATATAATTCGCATGGAACCCCGGTTCGAATGCCAGCGATATAAAGCTCAATCACCAATGTCATTTCAGCATGCTGAATATGCTTGTTTTCTCCCAAATAGCATCACATGTCGTTGTCACGTGATCAGGGTTTTACTGGAACAGTAACACAAATGGTAGTAGTAATAGTAATATTAAAAGTAACTTACCTGTCTGTTTTTTGTTATTATCACTGTTTCAAATATACTGATTTCAGGCTGAATCAAGATCAACATTCTCAGGCATGACGTAAAGAATTATGTAATTGGTGTGCACAAATCTGAGAAAAAACGAGAGAGTTTAGACTCCTACCTACAGGAAGAAATGTGGAAATCCAGGGAACGCCTGAAATAGTTTGATTACATAGATTATTGGTTGATGATGTGTACAATCTGCAGGTACTTTTAGGGGAGGGGGGGCTGGTTACTGATGCCTAAGTCAACACCATTGGAACAAAGCCATTTGCCCATTTATATTTCTTGATTTAATTGATGCATACTCATACTCACTATACGAATATCAACTGGATTCTAACATATAAAGTTGATGGCTACATCATCATAAAACAGGCTCATCATTCAGCACAGTATAAAATAAAGAATATATGCCCCTCTCCGTCATGGCACCGTAACTGTTTCATTTTTTGTTCGTTCATCGAATGTTTCAATTAGCTTGTTCTCTCTTAGAATAGGAAGAGAGTCGTACTCAAGCATTCCGGTTTGGAAAATGATTCTGTACACGCGCATCTTGGCGACGCTCGGGTTCATGCAGTCAAACAAGCTTCCGGTTTACAGTAAGATGGTTTGGGGACAAACAATTAGCAAACTGGTACATTTCACGGGGGAACCAACTAATGATATCCTCCTCATGTGCGAGCTCAGCAGTTGAGGCGGTCTACCAACGAGACCTATGCACAAGCTTCACTGTTCATTGAAAGGCGAAAGCAATGTTGCAGAAGCAGATGAACCTGTCTGTTAAGTGTGAAATGGTATTCCTGATGTATAGGTGTTCGTGACTCATGTGAACACTATGTGATAGATTGACCACGGTCTGAGGAATAGACTCTGTCATACCGGTCGTGATGCTCCGCCCTAAATTGTATCTAGTAAACTTGTTTGCCAAGCATGAGACAGCTCAAGGATCGCACGTCCATCTGTTCAAAATATTTTACACAAGTTGTCTGTTCAAGCGCCCGAAGCAGTGGGTATTACAATATGTCTGTGAATTTGTAGGAGCTGAACCGAAACGTCATCATTTCACATGATTATTTGGTTTGAAGGCACTGCCTATATCTTACTCAGCGTGACTTTTATTATACGTCAAAAAGGTTCAGATGCATTGCATGTAGTTCTCTGCCGCGAATAGCTTGCACAAAATACAACTAAAGTATAATTGTTCCATGATATATGAATGACTACTTATTTGCTTCAAAGCACTGATGGGTGTTAGGCATCGCAGAACGATCATGATCATACCAATAAGTCATCCGGTTAAGCGCAACTTTCCAAGTCCCAGCAAAATTTCTTTATATATTACTGAACAAATCATCTGATGAAAGTTCCACTGGTCGCAGGAAAAAGGTTGCGGAATGTTGTGGAATGTAAAAAGGTGTAAATTCCCAAATGTTCCCAGCGGAAGTGAAAACTGTCTAGCACCATCACCAGTATCAATGTTTATCTTCCAACTATGTAGAAAGCGTGTATGAGATGCTGAAGGGAATGGTCTGAATTATATAGCACGTGATTAAGAAAAGATAAGTATGGGCATTTCCCTAAATCTTTTCTCATTGAATTTATTCACAGTCATAAATAATTTTATCAATCAGTCTATCACCAAACCCTTTTGTCTATTTTGTTGTTTAATTGTTTATTTCAGTTATCAAGATATGAAGAAACACCCTTGTGGTGTTCTCATTGCCGAAACCCAATCAATACATTTAATTGTCTTTTAAATTTAAGAACGACTTCTGATATTCCAGGTGACTCAGATGGTACTAAGTCGAACCGAGATTATAATAGCTAAGTGTGAATTCCACTACCAAAATTCAATCTACTTTGCTTGTATACCGTTGTGTTGTTAAACGGGCACTTGCGGATTGCATGAACGGACCACGGATACGCATACCAACACTTTATCATGATCAATCGGGTTATAAATCGACGGGTACACCCATTTATTTAGATGGATAGATAAAAATGAATGGATCATGCTGCCAAACAGCTGCTATGATGATGTTCGAAACATTCAATGAAGATTCCGCAGTATAGTCTACTTTGAACGCTAGAAGCACAAATCGATCACGGAATGGATTCACACCACAAGATAGTGCTAGTCCGTACGTTCACAAAAGGACTACACGAGCCTAGAAAAGAGAAGAGAAACAAGTTTCATTTCATG